TTTAGAGGAGGAAAGCGGGATGAAGATGTTGTGGAAGAGGACGCCAGGGCGGCAGAAGCTTGGTTTGGTAGAAGAAAGGGCGAAGGTTTGATCTCAACTTTGGTACGGACACTATTGGTCTTACGTTGAATTGGTTTGATGTCATTGGTCCTACGCATTATGCATGCTCCTATTTTTTTTATGCTTGACGTAAGCATCAGGGTGCATTCCGTTTAAAGAGAAAACAGCATTTTTTGCTACATTTATTTAAATTTTATAAGGAATACACACACATGATGTTGTTTATCAATGTTTGAAGCATCAGTGGCTTGGAATAAAGTAAAATTGGGACAACCTTACACTTTGAAAAGGGTTACATTTAAACTTACCGGTGCCTTTTTAACCAAATACAGTCTAAATATGTCTGTTGTATTTGTATTTATCTGCTGTTTTCTATACTGCAGAGGTAAACAGTGGGTAAAACCCACTCTTATTTTTTTTTTTATCTTTTAAATGCTGATATTCTCTGTATTGTAAAACAAAGCGAAATAAAATATTCAAGGGATTGCAAATAGAGTTATCGTATTTACATAGGTGTGGGAACTATAACAGGAAGTGACACTGAGCATTTCAAATATTGACTTCAATATACAAGTTGTGAGAAAAGAAGCAACTGCTGCAACAACGCTGGATTGTAAATTATAAACATGTTATTCACATAGAATTATTGGTAGGGACAAGTTGGTCTGGCCAAAATTTTGGTAGGGACATGTCCCTATGGTCCCTATGCAAACCTACGCCCATGTGTAGAAGGCTTTCAGCCGTACATGTTTGAGCCCTTGCCTCGCAACGCTGCCAGTTCTGTTAGCTCTACGCCTGCTGAAGACACAGACGTCCATCCCAGTGAACACTGGGATGGAACTCAATGGGAAAGGAAATTATTCTTATTTCTTATTTCAACCGTTGCGTATATTAGCTGCGACATAGGAATCAAGATGCTATGATCGAAAACAATTTGATTGACAGATGACCGCTGATATATGATTGGCCGAATTTAGGTGTTCAGGTTGATGTATAACTAACTGGCCTGCAGAAGATAAGGGGAAAAAAAACAGAGATTGTAAGAGAGGATTTTGTTTTAAATAAACATTTTCTAACTTTTGGGACAATAGGGTCTGATAAAGAATACATTTATATACATGTTTGAGCCAGAAGGATTTGACATTTAAATATGATTTCCCTACGACTTTAAAAAAGCAGGGAAACAATTAGAGCGTGGGATTGATTTTTTTAAATTTCAAAAAGTGTTTGTTTTTTATTTGTTTTTCAGAAGGACAAAAGTTTAACAAACCCAATTTTTGAAAAAAAAAAAAAGTCATGTTTCTGCATGATCTTTTAAGAGATGGTTGCCTCATATTCCATTAGAGTTAATGTTATATTAAAGTCTGCCAAGGGATTTATCACTAATTTCATACTTTAAAGTGTTTCTGTCAGTTCAGGAAGGTAATCATCGTTTGTTTTTCTTTTGTTTAATTTCATCACCAAATGCATAAATGTTATGTAAGTTTCTTTATTGTTATGAAAATAACGGAAACGGTGTGAAGGAGAGAAACGTGTTTTAAAATGTTAAAAATAAACCTGAGAGTTGATGACTTTATAAATCTCCGTCACTTTAAACACATTTTAAAGCTGTTCTCCGTAGAAAAAGAAACGTTACTCCCCGTTAGTGTGATTTAATTTTTCGTTCATCTTTTAAACCAGCATTTTGGGCTCAGATAAAACAATAAAAACGACCTTAAAATAAAAACAAACATCTATTTCGGGACTTTATTCAGGCTTACGTTGTTCATATCCTGTTTGTTCTAACGGATACAGTTGGTCCAAACTTGTGGAGCCGCAAAAATAAGCGGCTCGGTTCGGGTTTGTTTTGGATCCATGAACTCACCTGGTTCTCCTTCTCTGCTCCAGAGGATGAACTTTGGCAGGTTTCGTTTCTTCTTCCCAACCGTGGCCGTGGAAGTGGGACGTTCTCGTCAAAAAGTGACCCGTTGACACTCTGCTGCTCCTGTACGAGCTCTGCTGTTGCTATGGTAACGGAGCATGTTGCG